ACAATATGTCCAAAATATGAGAGACGAAGCTTAGCCATCTTGGCCTCCAAGAAGCACTCTGGCTGCACTCCTAGAAAACCCTATACAGGGTTGCTGTGGGTTGAAACAGACATGATGGCACTTAACAACAACAACAAAGCCCTATATATCCTTAACTTTGCAATAAAGCATTCAAATTATGCGAATATTGTCTGAAAATTTCAAGAGACAATTCTCTTCTTCCATCTGTTTAAGGCATCTTTGATTTCCTTGTTTCTTAGACTATAGATCAATGGATTTAACATGGGAATCATCACAGTGTATACAATAGTAGCCAGTTTGCTTTGGCTAAGAGAATCATCAGAGTTGGGACATAAATACACAAAAGAGCTTGAGCCAAAGAAAAGGATCACTGTTGTCAGGTGAGAAGCACAGGTGTTGAAAGCTTTGGACCTGCCTTCAGTTGAACTGATCTTCAAAATGCTGGCAATAATATAACCATAGGATATCATGATAACAAGTGTAGAAGTCATTCCATAGATCACTGTGAGCACAGAACTTACAACTTGTAAGAAAAAGGTGTCAGAGCAAGATAGGATCATCAGTTGGGGCAAGTTACAGAAGAAGTGGTTGATGATATTTGGCCCACAGAAATGGAGCTGAAGTAAGCCACACAGTTGGATAAGTGAGCTAAAGGTTCCAGTTATGAAAGATCCTACCACTATCTGCAGACAGACACTATGGGACATGATGACTGTGTAAAGCAGAGGACTGCATATGGCAGCATATCGATCATAAGCCATTGCCACTAGAACACAGGTCTCAGTGAGACCAAAGCTAGAAAAGAAGAAGTACTGCATGATACATCCCCTAACGGAGATGGATTTCTGCTTCTGGAAGAAGTCTGAGAGCATCTTGGGGGCTGTGGAAGTAACATAGCATATATCTAAGAAGGCAAGTTTATTGAGGAAGAAATACATGGGTGTGTGCAGGTGGGAGTCCATCTTGATCAGGACAATAAGACCCAGGTTCCAGAACATTGTCATGAGGTAGATCCCTAGGAATATTGAAAAGAGGAAGACTGTGAGCTTTGGAAATTCAGAGAATCCCACGAGGATGAACCAGGTAACTGTAGTGCTGTTTCTTTCTTCAGTTGTTGCCATGGTGCTCCTGAGATCTACAGAGAGAAAGAAAAAGAAATCGCTTGTTATCTCAGGATTCACAGGCTATTGAATTTAAATGCTACACATTCCAACAACGTAAAATCCAAAATGAAGCTTCCTAAATATTTTTTTATTTCTTAATCATTTAGAGAATTTTTGTTAAAGTATAATCT